GCTGCTGCTAGCTTCAGAGGCTAATGAATCCAAGACTGGCTGATAAGATGGCAGGGCTCACAGGATGCAAAGGCAACAATTCCAGGGTTGGCAGGCAATAGGGCAGGCCACAAACGAGGTCAGATGATGAGCCAGATGCAGGATCCAGACTGAAAAGCAGCCAGAGAGCTTCGGCAGAGCTGCGCTATATATAATAGAAGGCCACACCCCAAAGGAAACGTCCCTTCAACTGATTGGCTGCTCATAGCAGATCTCATCATGGGGGATGACTACATCGTAACTGCAAAACTACTTAGAATCATGCCTCAGCCAAGATGACACACAGTCTTAATTCTCATGCAAGAATATGTGTTTTGAATTCTAAATCTGATTCATGAAGTGGGTGTGGGTGGTAGCCTCCTTCAGGACTTCCACCCCACTCTTCAAAATCTCCCTCCCAGGCACCCACCAACAGGAGTCACTTGGCTTTATAAGCTCCTCTTTTAGAACTGAAATTCTCTCAGTTAAGTCAGCTATGCCTCACGGTTGACTGCTTTAATCATATAATCATAGAATTGTCTTCAGATAATTAAATTAAGGGGGTAGAAGAGTAGCCAGAGATGGCCCTGATGAATGGCAGTTTGAATTTTTTTATGGAGGGTACCTGTTTCAGTTACCTATCACTATATAACAAACCACTCTAGAACTTAATGGCATAAAATAACAAATATTTCTAACAATTCAGTGTGTTGACAACCTGAACAATTGTTTGACTAGTCTTACCTAGGATCACACCTGTGGCTGCAGTCATGTGACTGCAAGACTGGTGTGTGTGTGTGTGTGTGTGTGTGTTGGGGGGAGTTCCAAGAAGACCTCATTAATATATCTAGCAGTGGGTGCTGGCTATTGTCTGAGCACCATGGTCCTTTTTCCTGTGAGCTTTCATCCTCCATCAGGCTCAATTGGGCTTCTGCATAAATGGAAGTCTTCATTTTCCAGAACATCAAAAGTGAAAGCTTCAAGGCTTCTTAAGACCTAAGCTCTAGAACTCGCAGTGTCACTTTCTCTACATTTTGTAGGCCACAGCAAGTCACAAGGCAGCCTAGATTCAAGGGACAAAGAAAAAGACTGTATCAGTGTCCAAAAAAGAGGATAATTGAAGGACATTTCAAGTTGGAGTGAGAGACTTTACATAAGTTGGTAACAAAATGAAGTCATCTAGTGTTGGAAGCAGAGGTGGGAAGAGGCAGGAAAACTTTCTGCACAGGGTCCTAGGAATGGCAGGAGTCCCCCCTTCAAGGACACTGGATTCAGCATGCCATAGTATTCAAAGATACCCGTTGAATGATTAACACCATGCTGTGTTGGGTAAATAGGGTTTCTTTAGAAGGCTGTATAGCTTAGTCATTCCTGGTCCTAGGGTATCCTATTCATCCAGCTAAAGTAAGAACAATGCAGGAAGAGTCAGGAAAAGAAGGAAAAGAAAACCTACTTAAAACTAGATGGGTCTTACTCTAAGACTAAGATTAAAATAGACTAGGAGGAAAGGTCTGGAGATCTACTTCCAAAAATTAGGCAGTGAAAATGTTATGGATTACACAGAATATTGTCCAACATAGTGCTAGAAGAAGAGCCCCCTGGATAGAAGACACTCAAAATACACAGCAGCTGCAGCAATGGACTTGAGCATGAAAATGGCCGTGAAGATGATGCTGGGCCAGGCTGCATTTCGTTCTGTTGTATGTGACCTCACCATGAGTCAGAGTCATCCTGATGGTGACTAACAAGTACCTGATGTTTTCAGTTTGCCTCCAAAAAATTCATATATTAACATACACACACAGTTTCTTGAAAGCTGAGTGCTTCTGTTTTCTTTAAAATCCTACTCACTGAATATTTCCAGGGAAGCTTATGTTCTTATTAATGTTTATAAAGCAATAATGTTCATGCTTTGGTGGCATGAGGCATTTGACTGCTAACCAGAAGGCTGATGGTTCCAACCCCATCAGCCACTGTTCAGAAAGAAGACTGGGCAATCTACTTCCGTAGAGATACCGCTTCGGAAAACCAAGGAGGGGTCACTAATAGTTGGAACTGACTCGACGACAGTGAGTTTTATACTAGCTACCAAGGATCTCTGGTGGTGCAGTGTTTAAAACATTTAGCTGCTAACCAAAAGGTTTACGATTCAAACCCACCAACTGCTCTATAGCAGAAACCTGAGGCATTGTGCTTTTGTAAAGATTATAACCTTTGAAAGCCTATGGGGCAGTTCTGCTCTGTCCTGAAGGGTCACCATGAGTCAGAATAGACAGTGGATTGTTCTGGTTTTATACTAGCTACCTAAGGAGCCCTGGTGAAGCAGTGGTTAAGTGCTTGGCTGCTAACACAAAGGTCTGAAAGGTCAGTGGTTTGAACCCACCAGCAGCTCTGTGGGAGAAAGACATGGCAGAGTCTGCGTCGATAAATATTTATAGCCTTGGAAACTCTGTGGAACAGTTCTACTGTGTCCTATAGGGTCACTATGAGTCAGGATCGATTCGATAACAGTGTGTTTAATATGCATATATTTATTTCCTGTTTATTTTATAAAAGAATGAGTATATTTTAAGAAATCTTTAAAATTTCTCATCCCCTACATCATAGGTGGCCTGTGTTCAAAATGTGCACCACTGAACCTCCAGTCCACCCACCCATATGTGCGTCATGCTGTGGTGGCTGTGTGTTGCTATGATGCTGATCGCTATGCTACCAGTATTTCAAATACCAGCAGGATCATCCTTGGTAGACAGGTTCCAGCAGAGCTTCCAGACTAAGACAGATGAGGAAGAAAGGCCTGGTGATCTACTTCCAAACATTAGCCAATGAAAATCTTATGGATCACAACAGAACATTGATTTGCTTGCTTTGGCATGTTATCAGGTGGAGTCAATTGCTTGGTGACATGGAATGGCACAATAGCCAAAAGGATGGACTCAAACTTGCTGGCAATCATGAGAATGACACAGGACTGGGCAACATTTCTTTGTTGTAGACAAAATTGCCATGAGTTGGCATTGACTCCTCGGCAGGCAGCTATCTATCTAAACCTCCAGTGCCCAGTATAGTACCTAACACAGGGTGAGCCTCCAGTACATACTTTATGAATGAAAGAATGGTAATTACTATCTTTCTAACTGGGAGAAACAGAGGTAGGTGAGTATTTGGAATTAAAGTCAAATAATGGTTGTTAACAGTAATTATGCCTGACCTTTCAATCTAGGCACTATCATTTCAGAGTTCTTATTTACAGTTCATGAGGAATGGAGAAGGAGAGAAGTATTGTAGAAGCCCCAGAACTTTACATTTAGAGAGAATGTTAGCAGTCACTGTCCAGTGTTCCCAGCTAGGACAACACTCCTCTCTACAGGGCCATAGCAGAGGTCACCCTCTGAACACTTAAAAGTGAGGGGATCCTCTTTACCACCCATTGAATTAAAAAAAAAAAAAAAGTAAAGTTTTTCTTATATTGAATAGACATGTGTCCTGTAACTTTTACCTGTTATTCTGTGTTCAGCACTAGACAGATCAAACTCATCCTTTCTTCCATATAACTTTGCTTCAAATAATTGAGTTCCCCCCATTTTGGTCTATGACAAGAACTGGTTGAGTTTCATATTGTAAATCCAAAGAGAAAAAACTATCTTTAATAATCAATCATAATATTTGCAAAGCTTAAGGGTTGTGTATACTGTATCATGGTTTTGAACTGAGTGGTTAAAGACATAGAGGGTTGACAGATTAGTCAGAGTTGTCGAGAGTATTAATTACTAACTTTGAAATCTTGGTCAGTGAAAGTTCATCTTACTGCATCTTACATATATGATCAAAGTTTTTTCAGTACTGATTTGATGATGCTTAACCACAGTACGTGAAGAATGAAGTTTTTCATGAGAATCTATTGATGTAATTGATCTCATTTTAAAGGAAGATGTATTTGCACTATTAAACTCCGTGCTCTTCACTCACCTGCTTTTGGGACCCGCTCACTGACTCTGTGCACCTGAAATGGTGTGTTGGACCTGTAGCACAGGACACTGGTTTTAACAGCATCAGTGAAGCTCAGAGGTGACCACACTGTGAGGGCAAAGGTGGGGTGGGTGTAGGTGATGATTTTAAAACTGTAAAAACAAAAGTCTAGAATTTACTGTAATTAAAGGAGTGAAAAATTACACTGACTAAAAATTTGAGAAACTGAGGTAGGTGAGTGTGTAGCAGATTATGGGAAAGTAAACAGTCCCTCTGCTCTTTCCCTGTTTAATCTTAGAAAAACAATCCATTATTTTTGGTGGCTTTTTCTTGTAAGAATTAAGAAAAAAATACTGGCACCTAAATCATAAAAAATGAAATAGAAATATACTCAGTGACTTTCCCTTCTGCCACATGTCTTATCCGTGCCTTCCAAAGGCGGCTAGAATACACTACGGCTTCACAGTTAACTGCAGGTCGATTTCTGGCAGCAGCCAGTGGAAGGTGCGGAAAGGTGTTAATGCTTGTTTGGCCTTTGTCCTCACCACTGTGCGGGTGTTTCAGGAACCGCTGGGCGTCGCCCCGCAGCCAGGCAAGGATTCACCTGTTCTGCGGCTCTTCCCATTCAGTTGCCTCCTAGCGCCAGAGGGTGGCACCCCAGGCCTCTGTGGGCAGGAAGGAGGTGAAGATGAGGGAAAGGAGAGGGAGAACGTCGGTAGATTCCCAGACGAAGGTCAAGAGCTCCTCGGAGAAGTTAGGGAGGTGCCCTCACCCCACCCTCTTAAGGAAAAAGCCAGGGCTTTTTCGTTACTTCTAAGATGAAAAAGGTTTCCCGGAGGTTATTCATAATCAACGCCTTTACCCTCCTGCGCCGCAGGGAATCCGAAGGGAAACTAATTTCCGTGGGCGCTGGGTCTGCGGGTGGTTGGAGTGGCCTTAACGCCTTGGCCCTGGAGGACTAAGGATGTGAGTTAATCAACATCTGACCTGTTTCCATGTGTCATGTTTTGCAGTTGCTGCATTTATGCGACTCTGTGAAGGACGATGCCCTGAGGGTGATCTCTGCCTTCAACATTCCACACACCTCCCTCCACGCACCAATCGCCGGGATCCCCAACCCACGGGCTGCCTGGGCATTCTACCCTGAACCCCTGCAGCCCCTGGCCGGGGAAAGGGCGCGCTCCCAGCGTCCAGTGCCGGGTGCCAAATTATAATCGGCGCGGCGGGAAGCGTGGTAGTCCGCCCGCAGCTGCCACGACGCTCGCTTTACTGACGCAGTGAGCTGGGGCCGAGGCCCGGCTGGCACGCACTCGGCCGTGGCAATCGGGGATTTTGCGACCGGGAGCGGAGGTCCAGCCAAGGCTAGCAAGGCGCGTGTCGGGTTTTTGAGGAAGGGAGTTAGGAGGATTGCCTAGGGAGTGCAGCCCTTTTTCCTCTCCCTGAAACCCTGCCCAGCCCGCTGCTACCTCTCCCAGCTTTGGCGGCGTCGGCTTCCCCTAGACAAAGTGGGCGGTCGGTGAGAGCGCGCCTGAAGACCAGTTGACGCCAAAGATGTGCTGTCAACAGTGACTCAGATTCCTAGTGATTTCAGAAAACTGGTGGTGCTGGGTGAAAGGAAAAAAATAAATAAATAAATAAAAATCAAACACCCTCAGGCAAAAGCTCCACGCATTCCTCGGGCCAAAGATTCATTTTAGCAAGTAGAGTTTTCCAGTGATTCAGACCTCCTTGGACGCTAGGAGGAGATGCACGGGCGGTGGGCAGAGATGTGACATGGAGTTTTACTTTTGGCCAAGCACGAACTAGTGTTTGTCCTCCCAGGCAGACCGCTTCCTGGCCGTAACAACGCGAGGAACACTTTTTTTTTTTTTTTTACCATGTTAAGTTTGTAATCTGTCTTTCAGAAGAACATAAAGAGAAAGTTTAATGAAGAAAACTATAGGAAGGCGCTCCCGCTGCTTGCAGAGGACCAGGAGGCGGGCCAGGGCACATACATTGAAATAAAGTTTGTTTCGGAACTTAGACCACATTGGCGACGCCTATGGTCCGGAGCGAGGGCCGCGGATTTCCCATTTCTCAGATCCCGGTTGCGCGACTTCATTCTTGCTCTTTTCTCTCAGCCCGATCCATCTACCCCCTTCCATCTCGTGGGCAGCAAGCCTTGCTCTTCCTGCGCCTGCGAGGCCGACGTCCGCGACTGGAGCTGAGGCCCTAATGGCCCCAGTCCCATCCTAAGCTATCCCTTCCCTTTGCTGTGGCCCAGTTCCGGGCGGAGCTCCAGACGCCGCGGGAGAGGGCCCGAAGGGCTAGTGGTCACTGAACGTGGAGCGCCAACCCGAAGCTCACTAGCGCAGCCCTAATCGCGGCAGCGGGGGATGGGGACAAGGGCCAGGGGGTACGCAGGCGGTGCCGCCTCCTGGCGGGCTTCCTTATTGCGCCCCAAATAGGGGCGTTACGGTCCTCAATACGTTTGTTTTTTAAAGCGGTCAGAGTCGCTAGAGCGAGCTGCGCGGGGGCGGCGGAGCTGCACAAGAACAAACGACAAGCACCAGGGCTTTCTTCCGCACGATTCTTTTAGAATATCTGCGTCGCCCAGCACCGCAGAGACACCCAGAACCGGGGCGCACGGTGGGACTGGGGCTTCCAGTGGGCGCACCAAGTTATGCTCCTTTGCCCTGGGCGCGACGCGGAGCCAGCAAGGCGTAGAATTCCTCTGCAGTCGCCACCAACAGTCCTGAGAGGTCAGCAGTCAAGGTGAACCTCTACCTCCGCGTCCGCTTAGCCGCACGTATCTAAGCCCATTCCCTTTATGCCGACAGCGAAATCTCTGGACCGAGCCCGACACCTGCCCTCGAGTCTCTCCGAGAATCCGTGTCCTCCTTCCCCTTGCTCAGGACTCGCCGGAGGATGCGCCGGGGAAATTTTAAGTTGAGTCTCTGCTGTGTCACGCTGACATTATAGATCTTCTCATGAAACATAAAAACCGACCTAGGTGGCCTCTCTGCGCTGAGACCTTCCGTCTCTGTGCTGGAATACGGGTGAGGGCGACCCTGGCACTGCGTTTCCTCAATCCGTCTCGCCTTCTCTTTCGCTCTCAACGCCCCGGCAGGGTGTTCCCTCTCTCGACCGATTCCCCCCGCCCCGGTTGTCTCGAAGCCCAGGGACAGCGTGAGGGCGCGGGTCTGAGAAAGGAGGCAAGCAGGGAGAAGGGGCGGGAAGTATCGCGTTTCCCATACCCATCTGTAAGCGCGCCTAGAACCGCACTGCGCAGCCTTCATTGGCCTCAGCCTGCAGAGGGACGGTTCCCGGATGGTTTCTCTGAGAACCCAATAAATCTAAAGGGTCGCTGCACAGCGAAGGCACCATCTTCTCTCTCATCTGGAGACAGACACTCTTCTCTGTTTTTTTTCCCCCAGAGTTTTCTCATTTCCTCCTTCTACCTGATCTTTCTTTGCACTCTCATGTAGCTCTGCACCTGGGCTGCGGAGAAGCTGGCTTTTGCGGGATCGTTTCTTGCCCTTGTTCTCAACTCTTGCCCCACGGGCTCTGCCTCTTATTGGAGAATCGGCGGAGGGGGAGCGAAAAAAAAACCCTTGCGGATGGCAGAAGCAGGACGCCTTCGAGTCCCACTTCTGGAACAAATGAGGAAGATGAGCAGCCTGTTGATCAGGCTCTAGCCTGACGCCCAGACTCCCGGAGGGAGGAGAGCTGATTCCCCTCTGAACCTCGCACTCATGCGTTCTCTAGGACCAACCCAATCTCCGCGCCTTCCCAAGAGGAGGTGATGCTGCAGCAGGGCAAGGGTGCTGCGACGCCTCCAGAGGCTTTCCGCGGGCGGCCGCGACCCTGTCCGGTTTAGTATGTGCCAGGAGCGCCCCCTCTGTTCCTTGCACACTGGCGGCCGCCGCTTGGGGGTGGGGGGAGGGCGGAGTTCACTTTGGGGTGGGGGATGGGTGCGCACACCGCTGCTAGCAGCCAAAGTCACTCCGGTAAACACGCTGGGCGTCTGCTCCCTCCCGAGCTCAAGTTCCGCAAGGCGGATAGAGCAGAAAGGAAGCTGACGGGGGCCTCCCCCGCCTTTACCTGTCGGAGCCTGCACGCGCCGGCCGCCGCGGCGGCGCGGAGGCGTGGCCTGCCAGCCCGCGCGCCGGGGCAGGACTTAGCAGAGGCGGGGCCCACGGTGATTGGGCGCGGGCTCGGGGCCGCCAGCCTGAGCTGGGCTGCAGGGCAGCGCAGGTTTCACTTCGCCCAGCGCAGCCACCAGGTCGTGAGCTAGTTAGAGCGTTCGATCCTGAATCGCCATCGCCACCGCCACCAATTTCTCGCAGCCAACCTTGCGCGTCCTGCCCTGCTGCCATCAGCACCTCTTCTGGCTGCTTGGTTCGCATCGCTCCCTCCACCGCCTCGGCGCCCTTCCCCTGGCCCTCGTCCCCCCAATGTCTGACTCTGGCTCTCGGACTGAGAAACGTAAGGTAAAGTCCTCCGAATCCCGGGGAGCGGGCCGGGTACGCGTGGAAGACTGGCGTTAGAGTTCCCGCAGCTCCACTTCTTCTGACTACCTACACACGTGCAGAGAGAGAATACACCTATTTGTCCTGCCTGTCGCCGGGTGGGAAGCGGCCATCGGTGCGGACTGGGCCGCTTGCCCTCTTGGGCGGGTCCACTTTGGGGAGGGGTCGTTGGCGCAGCTGCGGGCTCTTTGCTGATGTACGTTGCTGGCTGGGAGGTGGTGCGCGGGGAAGTGAAGCGTTTCAGGCCTTATGCGAGAATAAGCGCTTGCTCTCGGCGTTGGCCCGGGAGCCGGGTGCCCGCCTCGCGAAGCTGGACAGCGCGCTCGGTCGGGAAAGCCGCGGAGCGGCCACGCGGTACAAGCGGGTCTTGCACCTGGATTTTCTTGGACGCGCGGGCCTGTGGGGGAAGGTTTGCGGAACTTCAGTGAAGATTTAACCGAGGGGACTGGGCTTTTCCTTTTACTCACGCAGGCCGAAGTTTTGGGGCAGACGCCGCGTCCACCCTCTTGGACGTGCCAAGGGGCTTTCTCGATATGCAGACGCCCTGTGGGCCGTGCCAGCCACTCGTCCACAGGCAGCGATACTGAGGGCGTCCTCTGATCAACGGGGCCACGCTGTAAACGAAGTCCGGGCAACAACCTGTTTGGTCTGTGGGGCCGGGCCGTCTTAGCGAACCGGACCCACTCGCAGTGTAGGTTGGCGGACGGTCCTCAGCCTCAGAACCATTTTGCCCATGAAGTGGTGCTGATAGTGGAAGGATCGTTGGGGTAAGGGTACTGATTATTTAGGTGCCTTCCGTGGTGACGGCGACACGCCAGTATGCGCGCCCGTCGCCAATGTTGGCTGCTCAGAGTTGCCTTGTGTCCGCGACGCAAAGGGAGAAGGCTGGCTGGAGGAATATGCGTGCTGCAGCTGGGTCTGGAGCGGGCGTTGGGGTCCTCACCCCGGCGAGCTTGGGCGGAGGCCGGCGAAAGAGGCCGGGGTCTGAGAACCGCCCTGCCGGTCCGAAGAGATCGTGGGTCCTGCTTTGTTTCTAGACGGTCGTCGGCTACCGTTGCCGGCGGGAGTCGCTGAGATGTGCACGGCGTCCGAAAGGGAATAGGGGTGGTAGCCGAGGGAATCTCGGCTTTGAAAACCTCTGGTCACTGCCGCCGCCCGAGCCGCGCTGGGAGGAGAGTTTGTCAACAATCGCCTTGCCTTTGGCGGCCTGACCCATAGGCGCCGCCCCCACCGCTTCCGCCGATTGGCTGATACGCGGAGCGACCGCGCGGGAGCCAATGGGGAACGCGGGCACCCGGCGCCAGCGGCGCGGGGAGGTCTGTGGTGCCGGCGGCGGCGGGCGCAGTGCGCGAGGGGAGGAGCGGGAGGAGGCGGAGGATGTTCCCGGCGGCTGCGGCCGGGGCAGCGCGGGCCAGAGGAGCGGCGCGCGGAGCCCTCGGCTGCCCGGCGGAGCACGGCCGCGTGCGGGCGGGAAGGCGTGGGCTTTGCGGTGCTCCTGGGGCTTTGAACGTGAGTCCCGGGCTTTGTCTCCTGCGCTATTTGCGTGGTGAAGGTTGGGGGACGACCGGTCCGCGAAGGGCGCGGGCTAGACGCGGCAGACCCCGGGGCCGGACGCTACGCTTGAAAAGAAGTGAGCAGAAGTAAGTTTCTGCATAATTGCCATCAGAGGGTAGGATGGTTGGGGTGAAGGGTCTGGTTGTCCCGCAGTTGCTTAGCGTGCAGAGTTGGTTGTGGACTTTGCAGGGGGCGCTACGGGACGGTTTCGGGGGTCCCCCATTTGGAGGTGTGAACCAAAGAGCCCAGGTGCGCTTCTGGGAAGTTCTGTTCTGTTTAGTGCGGCACTCTGACCCTTTAGTGGGTGGAGGGGCATGCGGGCCTGAGCGGGTAGGACCACGGGTGGCGAGCGCTAGAGCCTGGCCGAGCCGCGCTCTGAGTTACAAACTCTATTGTGACGCACTTACTACGACTGACGGCCGCTGCCAAACCTTCCCCAGACTTGCTGCCCTCAGCACTTTAGGCAGAACAATGGGGCCAGAGCAGGGAACTCGGCCAGCCGCCTGCAATCGCTGCATCTGCGCCCGCTCCTGTTCTCCAGCACAGTATCTGATCCCGGGAAATCAGAGCCCGCGGGGAGCTTCTGATTTATCTTAGAATGTCCCGAGCAAAGAACAAATCTCAATAGGCTTCAAACAAGCTGATATTTTTTTTTTTTTTTTTTTTTTTTTTTTTTAAAAGTTTGTGTGTGTGTGTGAGAGCGAGCGAGCGAGCGAGCACCAGTTCCACACATTGTTACTATGTTTTGTTTGGTGGTAGGAAGTTTAGTCTCCCACCACCACCACCGCTAATACAAAGAGTGATGCCTTTGTTACTTTTGATGTATTTCTGTTTTAACTTGGAGATAGAGAAGTGTAAGAAATAATGATTTAATGTTAAAGTATCTGGGATTAACTCTTAATTTCTAATGAATAGGTGAAAACTAATTTACTTAGTGTAGTTATTGTTCTGCTTAAGGTAATAACAGTTTTGTTTTTTGTATTTTTTACTACAGAAAAAAAGACCAAATGGCAAAGCAACCTTCAGATGTAAGTTCTGAGTGTGACAGAGAAGGTGGACAATTGCAGCCTGCGGAGAGGCCCCCGCAGCCTCCCCAGCTCAGGCCTGGGGCCCCTACCTCTCTGCAGACAGAGCCTCAAGGTAATCCTGAAAGTGAAGGGGACCGCTGCCCCCAGGGCAGCCCTCAGGGCCCTTTGGCCCCACCTGCCAGCCCTGGCCCTTTTGCTACCAGATCCCCGCTTTTCATCTTTGTGAGAAGATCCTCCCTGCTGTCTCGATCCTCCAGCGGGTATTTCTCTTTTGACACAGACAGGAGCCCGGCACCCATGAGTTGTGACAAATCAACACAAACCCCAAGTCCTCCTTGCCAGGCCTTCAATCATTATCTCAGTGCAATGGGTAAGCAATACCTGGGTAAGAGGCAGTTGACTTGTGGTTGTTTGAATATTTGTTTAAAAGCTGTGTATAGCATTTAAAGCCTTCTTTTAGAATTTTCCTACTCATTTCTTCCATCATTCTTCCATGTTATGATGGGAATGGGGGAAAAAAAACAAACTCACTGCTGTAGAGTCATATCCAAATCATAGCAACGTCTCCTTGAGTTTCAGAGGTGGTATCTCTATGGAAGTAGATTGCCCAGTCTTCCTTCCGAGGGGTAGCTGGTGGGTTTGAACCACCAGCCTTCTGGTTAGCAGTCACATGCACTGACTTCCCTACCAGTGTACTCAGGGACATGATTTTAATCTTCTTGGGGTCCAATTTGGGTGGCATGGTAGAGACAGCTGGTGTCAAACCTGAATGCAGGACAACTGAAGATTGTTGCATCAAGGCCGCCTATAAACTCAAAGATGGCTTTTTTTTTTTTTTTTTTTAACAAATAATGTTTGTTTATTAATGACATTCAGACCTGGTCACTTTCAGAAGATAACTGGTAACCAAGAGTATAAAAAAAAGATACTTTTAACTGACATTTTGAAAAAGTGAACTACTTCATATAGCCACTATCAGTATCAACCCGTTGCCATCAGTTCTGACTTACATCAAACCTACAGGAAAGAGTAGAACTGCCCTCTAGGGTTTCCAAGGCTGTAAATCATTAGAGAAGCCGACTGCCACATTTTTCTCCTGAGGTTTGAACCACTGGCAGCTGAGTGCTTTAGCCACTGTGCCAATGACATGGAACCATGACGATAGTTTGTTTTCTATTCAGATTCCTCTTTGAACTTACTTTCTTTGCTCAGAGGGTTTAGACATAGTATTAATGAGATTGTTGTTACTGTTATTATGTTAGAGTGTAGGTTTTATTTCAGGGATTAAAGGTAGATGCCCAGGAAACTCAGAAGTGAAATAAATGAGGGAACCAACCAGGTGGGGAAATTGGAGACCATGTGCCCCTTCTAAATTATGGTTCCCTCTAATTGTGGCCATAGGAGCTCTGGTAGCATAGTGCCTAAGCACTTGACTGCTAACCAGAAGGCTGGTGGTTCAAACCCACCAGCCCCTCCTCAGAAGGAAGGTTGGGCAATCCTACTTCCGTAGTGATACTGCCTCGGAAACCCAAGGAGGGGTCGCTATGAGTCGGGGCCGACTCGACGGCAAATAACAACAACAATTGTGGCCATGAGTATGTGGTCTCAGAATGGCAGGTTTTCCTATATTACAAGACAATCCAGCAGTACAAATTTTGTTGCTGGATACCCTGCTATTTTAATGTTGGCAACTGTATTAGAACTTTGCGAACATTGTACAAGCCAGATAAAAACATCAAAACATCTGCAGGCTTGATTTGACCCTTGAATCTCCAGCATATAACTTTGAATATGTGCAGTTCTGGTAACCCTGGTTACAGGGTGACTTTCTGTTGTTCCTTACTAATGGGAGAGATTTGTGTCTTGATACATATGTACCAAAATCTCATTTACCATTTACCCAGACTGGTCTCCCTGAGTAAACAAAGTATCGGTAAACTGGTAGCATTATTGTTTAGGAAATCTAGTATAGATTTTATTAAAATGTAGATCACACTTAGCATGCTGAAGCCTACCTAAAACAAAATCATCAAACTAGAGACTTTAATGCTGGAATGCAGTGACAAGTCTTGAATTTGTAAATACTGTATGTATGGCTGTTTTCATAACCTACAGTAGAGTAAACCAGACAGATCCCCATGTGACAGAGTTGAAAGGAAAGAACTACTGAGTTTGACACTTGTCAGAGTTGAGCATACATGGCAAAAAGACCAGTAGCTGTACATATTGGCTGTGTGCCTCCTACTAAATGTTGGGAGATACTTTATTAGGGCCCCTTCTTAAGAAAAGGAGCTGGAAGCTTTGTTATTACTGTTACTTTGGTTATTGTTACTAACAACTACTCCTAAACTCATTTCAGTCTTAAAAGTTCTTGAGGCTTGCAAATGTTCTCCGCAGAAAAATATTAAAACGTGTACAAACCTACAGTGTTATTGCTTGCTAGATGAGTTCACAAGGTTTTAGGGTATGTATGTTTAAAAACATGCAGATTTTCACGCAGATTTATCTGTTAGTCTCTATAGGTGGTAGCTTAATGTATGGATGTAGTTTCTCCCCTATTAAGCAGGAACAGTGGGTGAGTTAGTTTATTTTTCAATGTCATGACAGATTGAATGCTTTTTTTGATGACAGATAATATTTAGTGAGTTAGTTACAAGGTGAGCACCATTGTTTGAGATGACAGACACAGAGCTTTAAAGATTACAATCTAAATTATTAGGTGAAATTAATGGTTACATCTGTGAAGTACAGTAGTGGAACCAGAGGCTTAGTTTTATAATACTCACTATGTTCCAGTACAGGAGCTCTGGTAGCATAGTGGCTAAGTCACTTGCCTGCTAACCAGACGGCTGGCGGTTCAAACCCACCAGCCACTCCTTGGAAGGAAGGTTGGGCAATCCTACTTCCGTAGTGATACTGCCTCGAAAACCCAAGGAGGGGTCGCTATGAGTCGGGGCCAACTCGACGGCACATAACAACAACAACAACAACAATGTTCCAGTACACTGATACAGTAAGTTAAGAGTTTAATGCATAGGATTAAACTATGAAGTTTAAAGACTTTCTTTGAAAATTAATGTATCAAGGTAAGTTTCAGGTATTAAATTCTTGGGAGATTTGTTTTAGGAGGCAGTAGGGGGTAGAATTGATGGTAGGAGAGGATTTGGGCAGATGTGAGTTTATTAAATTCAAGAATGAGATTTACAGCTTTTGTAGTTCATAACTTTTTTCTGAAAAGTCTCATAATCATATCTCAGTGTCTGAAGACCACTGAAGCGCTTCTTTTTAGCCATGTTTAGTGTTCCTTACTCAACAGTGTCCATTAAGACTTTCAATAAGGCTTTTGATAATTTATTGCAAAATACATATTTCACAAAGAAGTCTTTATGATTGGTTTGAACCAGTGGAGCAAAACTGCAATGTTATACAGAAGTTTTTCTTAGCCAAGGGCTCCTTCATCCACAAAATAGTTTTCTCTCAGTGACATGGGATAGATGACAGTATACAGGCATGCATCTTTGTTTTAATGAGAAAAGGCAAATTCTTGTCTGGGATGCACAGCAATTAGGTGTTTGTGTTAGAAATGTCTTCATGTTTTTCCTCTGGGTTTTCTGAAGATATATTCAGAGAATATTTATCTGTGGGAAGATACAGCTAGATAAACTTTTTACATTTTTATCTAATTTTAGTTTCCTTGTACTCTAGGAGAATTAATGTTTTCTGTTTAAAAACACAACAACAAAAAGAAAACCCACCAGGCTTTTGACAAATGATCTTGTAGTCAGCAAATAACTGATTATTCTAATCAAAACAGGTGACAGAGATGGTTTACTACATGCTTTTTCTGGTTAGTGTTCTTTGCCATACATGTTTTTAATACTAATTATGTGTTAAGTTTGGTACAAACTCTGGCTTGGAAGTAAAGTCAATGAAATAGGAAATAAGAAAGGTCAGGATATGAATGAATGCTGTTGTTGTTGTTGTCGTTATGTGCTGTGGAGTCGGACCTGACTCATAGCAACCCCTCCTTGGGTTTCTGAGGCAGTATCACTACAGAAGTAGATTCCCCCCCGTCTTCCTTCCAAAGAGTGGCTGGTGGGTTTGAACCGCCAGCCTGCTGGTTAGCAGTCAGATGCCTTAGGCACTATGCTACCAGAGCTCCTGTTGTTGTTGTTGCTAGTCATACCTAATTTCCAACTTGTCATTTTGGTAAACATCTTAAACTTTATATTGTTAACCTCATACGTTAGAATGCACTAGTTGAAGTGAATTGCATTCATCTTTGTGGCCCTTAGTATCTTGTGTGTAGTTTTCTTGTAGCAGATAGTTGTCTGACCACTCTTTTAGATTGCAGGCTCCCTGGGAACAGCCATGATATCCTGCTGGTCTTAGTGGGAGCCCAACTGCAATGTAAGAAGTTGCCAGCTTAGTGCTGATATTTGTAATCAGAGTTATCATGTAACTGACAGAGAGGAAAAGACCAAAAGATGTTTGAGGTCAATTGAACTTTACTCATTAGCCTTTTCAGGGAGTGGCTTTTAACTAAGAATAGATAAGGCCCATCCCATCCTCTCCCAAGTATTTTTAATTGTTTAGACCCAGTTTTAAAGGTTTGTCACTTATAAGTGACAATGTATGATCTAGCTCTTTGCTGCCCAGTAAGGAAACCACATGTGGGTCCTGGGCACTGGAAATGGGACTAACCCTAATTAAGATGTGCCATCAATGTAAATATATATTCGATTTCACAGACTTAGTACACAGACAAGAATGTAAAATGTATCATTCGTAATTTTCAAATTGATTATTTCGTTAGATAAAATGTATTTTTAATATTAATGTTACCTATTTCTTTTTAGTTTTTTATGTACTAGAAGTCTGTGGCCATTGTTTTAGTGTGGAAGGGTGCATTGGTCTTGGTGATGGAGGGAGCTGGAAGGTGCAGCCAGGATACTACTTCACATTTGATGTTAGATGCCATTGAGTTGGCTCCAACTCATAGTGACCCTACATAGAACAGAACAAAACACTGGCCGGTCTTGTGCCAGCCTCACAATACTTGTTATACCTGAGCCTGTCGTTGCAGCCACTCTGTCAATCCGTCTCATTGAGGGCCTTCCCCTTTTGTGTTGACCAAGCATGATATCCTTCTCCAGGAAATGGTCCTTTCTGACAGCAGGACCACAGTAGGTCAAACAAAGTCTGGACATTCTCACTTCCAAGGACCATTCCAGCTGCACTTCTTCCAGGACAGATTTGTTCATTCTTTTGGCAGTCCATGGTACTTTCACTATTCTTCAACACCACAACTCAAAAGCATCAACACTTCTTTGGTCTTTCTTATTCATTGTCCAGCTCTCACATGCTTAT